GAATGAAGACGTCTCTGCCACGAGATGACCTAGCAGACGAATACTACTCACTTTCATACCAGGCTCCTTTTCGTTCAAAGGGCGGCAGTACACAGGTACTGGCACTGGTACTTGGTTGGTACTTGTGGTGAGCTGGCGGCCTGCATTACTTGTCGGTGGGGTCTGTGCAACCGAACCCGCAGATCCTGGAACCTTGGCAGGCAAACTCCAACCATACGCTTGTAGCCGTCCGTCATCCTTGCGAACGTGGGCTCTCACCTGTCTGTACTGTTCTCGTCTCTCAGTTGCACGGCGAGCGGCAAGCTTCTCTGAAGATCTGGTATCCACAGATAATAAGATTTATATTTTCTCAAAGTATTCCACAGATGCAATAGTTTAGTTACTCAGTCACCAACTTCAGGTTGTAAAGAAGGGAGGTAATTTCTTTCCTAGCTGCGCAAATGATGCTTCTCAAGGACTCTACTTCAATGAGTTTGTTAGGGACATACACAAAATCATATCAACCATTAACCTGAAGTCCTGCATCTTGCACACTGTGTAAATACTCAAAACTGAATTTTACTGTTCCTGTATATGAATAACATGATTCAGTTTGGCGAAAGGTTACAAAGATTTGATTGTGCCACAGTTTGCATAGCACTTTCCTCCCTTGTCAGAATCACAGTAGCTATGCCAGGCTATATGATTCTCAATATAAATGTATTCAGTCCTTTACGGAGAGATGAAGGACGTCTAAACATATATACATATCTAGAATATGTAAGATACAAAGTGCTCCCAATCTGTTTTGCTGGGTTTTCAGACCTTGTTCATCATCTGACGTAAAACTACACAGTGTTTTGAGAACTCATCTGTCCTCGTCTTCAGGTGTGGTGATAGGGACGGGCACATACTCTGTGGGGTCCGTCAGAATGAGCAAACCTCAATCACAGGACAAGGCCCAAAAACTCAACAATCCAGATTGTATTACACCATTGTCAGAACCATTCAGAATAAAAATGCTCACAGTTCGCCATCCATGAAGTCAAGACCACGTTTGCGATCATTTAGCGAGCGCTTCCTCATGGTGTCAAGGGCTGGGCTCACAAGGTGCGTAGGTGCACTGTAGCGCACATTAACATAAGGCAGAGGTTTTCGTTGCGGCCGTTCTGTTGCGCTGAACAAGTTGCTAAAACTGAAAACAAACACAATTATCAGTCACTCTGAATGATAGCAACAAAATTTTATTAACATTTGGGGGGGGGGGGGAAAAAAAAAAAATAAATTCATTTCTTCACAGTCGTTGGCAGGTGAAGACTCTATAGGAAATTGATGTTAAGTAAAGTACCAAGCAAAACACTGCCTCAAAATAAACAGAAACAAAAACAAAGCATACAAAAGTTCACTTCCACAAACACTAAAAGATGCAAGACAGGCTACAGGTCGTGTCAGTCCGAGGAACGCACAATGCTGTACGTACTGACTGATGCCTGAAGCACAAAGAAATGCATGACTCACTTTTCAGAATCATAGGTAGGTGGAAAATGCAAACACACACACTAAAGTGCTTGAATTAGCTGTGGAGACAAAGCTCCATACATTCATAACTCTGGCAGCAACTGGAGGTGTCTGGTTTCAACTGCTTTGTATGCACACTAATAATGAAATCTCTGTTTGGAGGAAAGGGAAACTTTATTAAAATACTGAAGATGACAACAAAGAAAAATGCTTAACAAATTTTACATAATTTACTTTCAAAGAAAAATTAGTTAAATGCAAACGATAACACACCAGAATACTGAATTTATCAAGTGTCAAGATATGCACATTTCCTGTCTCGCCCTCACACAAACAAACTTCTGAAATAAAATAATTATATGGTATATATGGAGCTCCAAAACAGACAAAACATGCAAAGGTGAAAACCTCAAATCTTATGTAAAAACCTTTAACTCTCAGCATATCCATAAGTCATCCAACCAAAAAAATAAATTATCCTCCAAAGCACACAGAATATAAATCACACTTACAACTTCCATATGCTTTGCTTGCTCTTCTTATCTAACGTGGGATCATTCCGACTGGCTCGAATCATCTCTGTCCAGCGAACGGCTTCCTGCAGTTCCATGAATCGTTCCTTATACTGGTTCCTTTCCATTAACACTCGCGCCATTTCTACCCTTGTGAAACGCTTCCTCTGTGCCATTGGGACATCCTCCTGCTTGCAATAGAAACAACACATTTCTTTGATTCCCAGAACATTTATTTAGTACTTAGAACACACGAGTAAATTTAACACTAAGCTCCTCTTTGACAGAACATATTAAAATGGCACTGTACCTCTTATCACATAAAAAATCAGTCAAATCTCATTTAAAATTAAAATACTCAGTAATGAAACAAAACTGATGGCACCACGAAGCAGAGATTTAAAAGGAACAGGCAAAGTGCTTCTAAAAAATATTGACACACATACTTCGTCATCAGATTTGGAAGCCTTAGCTGTGCGTTCTGCTTCTTCACGCACTCTTTTCAGTTCCTCCTCCAGCTCCTGGATTCGTTGCCCCAGCCGGCCCCTTACAGCGTACAGCGACTTGATTTCCTCCCGCAGAATTTCCTGTTCACTGCAACAGCAGAAGCTCCGTTTCATTTGTGTCACAATAAAATCCTGACGAATGAATAATATACATACAGGTCAGAAAGAGAGAATCACTTACAACAGTAAATGACCAGGTGTTTGCTCCAGAAGTGATCTTTATAACAAATTAACTAATTAACTAAGTTCGTTGATATTACCAACTGCATGAAATTAAAAAGTTCAATTTTTGACTGCCAGAGCCATCTAGTAATAGATCAGGAGAGACTTGGGTGAGAAATAGCGGCAGAATTTTGCTTATGAAACATCTCGTATCATGCTCATAAGGTTCTTTTACATGCCGTAAATCTACAACATGGGACCGCCGGCTTCAATTCTCCTCTGAAGGAAGTTGTGCTATGGATTTTTATCACCCTTAAAAATCCATCATCCTTGGTCGGGTTTGAAACCGCGAACCTTGGGTCCAGCGGCAGGCACGCAAACCGCTAGTCCACCGAGGGCTACAATTGTAAAATTACTAAACTTACACTCTAGTTATAACCAAAGTGTGTTTTCAACCAGTCAGACATCAATCTCTGTTCACAGAAATGTAAGAACACCAATCTACTTACCTTGTAAGCTCATCAACTTTGACAATTAAATCATCCTTCACAATGTTGAGTGCATTTCTGAAACAAAGGAAAAATGCACAAAATAAAATCAATAAATTAACAATACAAATAATATGTAATTATACAGTGCAAATAAAGCAAGTTCTTTAACGTAAGATGAGATTCTCACAGCAAAGGTTAAAGTGGCCCTGACGATAGAGGTGGTATATTCCTTTGAAGTGTTTGTCACCACCAACAAGACTACAAAGTATCACGGCCTAGGAGACTACAACTGATAAGTTATTTAATATCTGACCAAAGACAACACTAATCATGGAAATTACTTTGTGAACTCACAAGCAGATGCCGTACAAACCGGATAATGGAACAGCTGATTGCCCAAGAGGATTTTATAACAAAATTAGTTAGCCAACCAGTTAGCTGGTTGGTTGTTTGGTTACTTAATTAGTCAAACACACCACATATAAAAGACTCAATAAATGTGTCTGATGAACTTCCTATTCAACATGGTTTGAAACAAGAAGACGACTTAACGCTTTAGGTTTTCATCTTTACATCAGAATATGACATTATGAACGTCCATGAAACCAGGATTGGAATTGAATGGGACACGTGACAATTTAAACTACGCTGATATTAATTTATTTGATGAAGAGACACATTTTGCCTGGAAGTTCTAGAGGGAGAGACCACAAAGGTGACCTTGGCTGTATTAAAGGAAAAAGGGGTCAGCGTAAAAAGACATTCATGGTGACTAGCAACGAACTGGAAGGAGAAGGTCACAACCTACTTCAAAGTACTGTGCCAGACAGACTAAGAAAAACCACAAACATCTCACTAAAACAGATGAAAATGGAGCATATGCAGAGGGTTACTCACTTGGTCGCAAGTAGTTCATTGTTCTCCATGATGAGGTTCTCCACCTCTTTGCCCATTCCTGTAAACACAAGACGTGTATTATGAGATTACATGTTCCCACGAGGACGAGCATACAGACGACTATCTTCTGTGACACTGTGCCATATAGTGAATTACATTTCACTGGTATTTCCTGCCTCTATCACCCTGATGATGGAGGCAGGAAGTATATTCAATCAATTTCTGTGAGACTACAGAGTGTGACAGTCAGCTTCAAGATGTATATTTTCGAAAATTTGTGACCTGTCAATAGCACGACACAGTAGTGTGTCTGATTATTACTTATCTGTAGTTTATTTAATGATGCTTTTCAGTAGGATAATAGTGAATTGGAACGGATGTAGAAGGAAGAGGTCATAGCCTAATGTAAGGTACTATCCCGACATTTTCCTAGGACTGAGGAAAAGCAAGAAAAACCCCGGTCAGGATAGCCGGTCTCCAGGCCGAGATTTGAACCTGGGACCTCCCGAATATGAAGCAGGAGTGTTAACCACTCAGTCTACCACTACGTTCAGTGATTATTATGTATCCATCACTCTGTGAAAGACCGACGCACCCTATGAATCTCAAAGTCTTGGACTTTGATGAAATTTGGCATACATGTTTAGTCCCGTTACCAACCACTTTTTATATTTTTATTTTATTTTTGTCAAGTAGCTTTTACAATACAAAATGTTAAAAAATCATCCGCACCAAGGTAGTTAAGGTGCATGCACAATGTTCTTCTTGGTAATGGACTTACAGAAACATTCTGAAACCCATGTCATAATTATGACATTTTCTTTGTAACTACAGCTGAATTCAGTTATAGCAACCTCAGTTAGAATGACACCTTGGCTATAGCATCTAATATTTATTTGTACAAAATGATCCTAGAAATTTGTTCATCATCAGTTAGTGCTAATTTCTCCGGTCCCTTGGATGACGTTACAACCAAGTCTGACTCTATACATAAATATGCCTCAAATTTCGTAAGGCTTCAGAATTATAAATGGCCACATCTAACATATTTGAAAATTAAACATAACTGAGCAGTGGCCACTTTATATAAAAACTAATTTTGCATTAAGATTTAAAGAATAATATATGAATAACTCTTGTGTTTAAGTTATTTGAAGCGCATCCAAAAAAAAAAAAAACACCTCATGAAATTAACATCAAATGAATACGGATATGTTCTACCACAGCCTGAAACAAGTAGGGAAATGTGGTGAGCCAGTAATTAATAAAGGAAAACAACTGTTGGGACATTTCAGAGGCAAATTAAAACACTTCACATTTCTTAATCTGATGAAGGAAATAAAATCCAGGAGTTTGAAAAATTCAGTGTCATACTTTAAGATAAAGACACAGCTTTAAATCACAAGTGATGACTATATCAATTCTTCTTACCAAAGAAGTTGTCATTTACTGCAGACGATTAAGCCGGTATGTCCAGTGAAGATGAAAAAAAAGCAAAACAGAAATTGATATGTTAGTTCATGTCAGCAGTTAAAAGCAATGCAGAAAGCATTCACAATGTGCACGCCAAACAGGCTTCAACTTCAAACCCAAATACTTAGTTTAATGCATCAGGATGTCAACAGGGACAGTGGAAGAGGTTCCTGGGTTACTCAACAACGTTCCATCGGTCGTCGTACTTGCATAACAAAGGCTGAAATGAGATTTAAGCAGTAAGGTCTTCATTTCATGATTTGTCTCATTCAACTGATGAGGTGATATAACGTAAAATGAGATGGGAAGGTGATCATGATATGCATGCCTGTGCAGACATAAAGGAAAAAAAAAAAAAGAAAAAAAAAACTGTGCTGAGATACACAGTCACCTGACCGAGATGTGATTCAGGTAACTCACAAACACAATACCATTACAGCAAGCTGTTGTGCCTCTTTCGTTTCAAAATTCAAACAAAATATATGGTAAAATCATTCCATATATTTTAATCTCTAATTCCGTGGACAGTAAACTTCTTAATAAGTTTATTATCAGGCAATCCAAATTAATTCACTTACTAATTACTTCTCTAATGCCACTCTTAATATAAAACCCCCCCTTTTTCATCCTTTGTTTTTCAAGTACTAAAACACTGAAGAAAAATCTATGTACATCATTGAACTGCAAACACAGAACACAAATGTTAATGTGGTTATAATAAACATATGAGGGTTTTGTAATATCAACACTTTTTATACATCTGTAATATGTGGTAATTACAAAGGGACTCAGCTGATTAATACTGAGGAAAATTGGAAATAAAACTGCATAAAATAAGTAACACAGGAGGATAAACTTTCATGCTGCAAAACCAGAGCCGAACTGGAGCAAACACACAGCAAAGACAATCATACTCAAACAAATACAAGTACAAGACATTACAGGTATAGACGGCACAGTAGTTTTTGGCCGGTGGAATTTCAAGTGGAAGGCTAGGAGCGAGTCTCTTGTGCGATAGTATAATGTTGACTGCACTGAGGAGCTTATCAGACTCAACGCCCAAACAAAAGAAATACAATGACCTTGCCACCCCAGGTACACAGAGTAGGCCCGTCCACCAGCTCCTCCACCGGCCAAAAACTACTGCGCCAACTATACACCAACCTATTCAGTGCTATTTAAAGTCTGTTCTTAGCCTATAAAGTCAGATAAATAAAGACTGTGACTGTAAGCAAGAGAAGTGCACATGCGTATCACATAATTTGGACAGGTCTCAAGCTGACAGCGATGATTAACGTTCCATAAGGCATTCTTGCAATGGGAATGGCGGAGGAATCGGTCACTGGGCCTCTGTTCGGGCACTATCAATCACATAAAATTAACATGAAAATAATGGATGTCGTCGGAGCATGAAAGTGCCTGGGCAAACTTCAGAAAATTCAGGGCCAAAATTCTCAGACAGTGACAATCAGGATACCAACACTCCACACAGAAAATGTAGGATTCTAGGAAAGTAAATACATGTAAAGGATCACAGGTTATACACTATTCAGTCATAAGATGTATATAAAATTACTAATTTGAGTAGAAATAACATAACAACTATTTATGAACACACACACACAATGAGACCTAGCCAATTGTAACCCTCTAACTTTGCTCTAGTTTTGAAGTATAACCAAGTACCCTCCTCTCGATTGCTGGTCAAGATATCAGGTTTAGACACTCTACCATTTCTTCGGAAAACGTAGTTTTATTTTCCACCTTCTTCATGTTGCTTCATATTCTTGTAGTATAACATTTTCACACTGTTAGTGACAGCTCGGTTGGGAACATGATTACTTACGGTGCAGCCAACTCCTGTTCCATTCCCAAGCACATTCTTGTTTCCTTTATTTTTAATTGCCATAAATATCATGCATATAGTGGTGTTGCAAAATTGTTCCTTCCCTCATTAACATTTTAAAATGACAGAAGCACTGTTTTAAGTGCATACTGCCACACTCAAAAACCAGAGCCTGATCAGAGGGTAACAACCAAGCCCCCTTGTCAGTGTACTGCCTATAATTTACATTTGCCATTAAGAAATAAACCATAAAAGTGTTCTTACATGCAAAAGAAACAATCAAGTAGTAACTACACCAGGTTCGTACATAGAGCATGCAGTGCATTCTGATGTGCAATTGATCATGCTAATAAAGTTCTGTTACGAACCTGACGAGGCATACTCTCCTGGGTGAACCCAACTGCCTGCAGCAGTAAAACAATAAACACAATATTGGAACTGCGTAAAGAAATTCTAAACAGCAGCTGTTCTGAATAAAACACAGAAGTGTTTTAGTATATTTTACTATTAATGTCATCATTAAGATTTTAAACAGCAATGTCCAGTGTTCCCATCAAGATAAATACCTTTATATGGCACCTTAAAGAGGAGGAACTGTAAGAAAGCTTACGGACATCAACGGCGACATTTATAAATAAACTTTACGTCACTAATTAACAACGCAAACAAGTGAAACAGTAAGCACAACAGACGGTTACATTCTACCTACAAGTTTAAATATTAAATCAATGATGCGAGTCACGTATATCTGGGTACATCAGAGCTGCAAATCGTTCCGTACTTCTCACTGGCCTGCTTCATAAAGAGTAAACTCAGTTTTCTCAGTTAATCACTTGTCAGAATACTTAGTATATTTTACACTTAAGTGACAGCCACAAGAGACTGCAGCCCACATAAGATTAATCTAACCAAGCAGCGTTTTATTGTAGAACAGATCCGTACGAACAGTGGAAGAAGCTACGGTGAGTTACCAAGTCAACATTTTCCCAAGAAAATAGCAATCAAAGCATGCAGCTGACCACCAACCTCCATCTAGTGCTGAGATCAAGACCGCTTTTAGCTACATCACCACTTCCCATTCATCTCTATCCAGGTGGTGGGTGATTACGAGTACGAACAACTTTACCCCAAATATTTAGCGTGCCCAGAAGTGGCAATTATGGTCAGTGAAATATATGGATAAATGTCATAGATAGTGTTAATAAACAAAAAATATGTATGAGTTAAGACATAAAAAGAAAAACTTGTAAAATTAAGGGACAAGTGGTATGGACTTTGATGACAAGATTCCTTTAACAAGGGAAAACATGAAGATTGTACATAAATTATCACCGAAGAGACAAAGTGAGGTACAATAAACAAAATGTAACTGGGGGGAAATACAAGAACACTCATAAAAGGCAAAAGGTTTTCTCATGCAACATCCAAACTGGTGGAAACTTCAATTGATGACAATAACTGTTACTACTTCCTATGATAATTCCTGAAGGAGTAATTTTACAGGAACAATATATCAGAAGTTTACAAACTGAAGGCTGCATCACCGAAGAAACACTCCTCACTGTTACTAAATACTGCATGTCAATTAAATTCAGCAAATAGTACTGAGCGCTACGAAACCACATATTAAAAACAATTTTCTGTGAACAACAATCTCCTGTGCGCAATTAATATTGTGCTCTGAGTGACAAAAAGTACTGAAATTAAAAAATTAGAACATCTTTTTCTGATGACCCAGAAGGCAGGCTTTATCATTTATCAACAATTTGTTTGTAATTACCAACCTTTAAACATATCATCCTAAATATGGACAAATGAAAGCAAAAGCTGTTACCTGTAATGTCGGCCCCCTCGTCCATCTCCACAAGAGCTTCGGCATCCTGGAAACTCAATTCTTGATACAGCGTGTTGCCACTCCTCTGTTCTCTGCAACAGAAACACGTGTTCTCACTAGCAACAATCTGATATAGTGTGTTGTTACTCCTCTGTCCACTGCTGTAGAAACTAACAGACCATGTTTTTTCCAAGTACCAAAGTGTGCTGCTGCAGCGTGGAAAAGTACCGGATCAAAACAATACTCATAATTTTCTACGATTCCGAGACTATCATTCATAAAGAGTTTGTTCCTGAGGTCACAATGGTCAATGGAAAGTATTACTTGGAAGTTTTGAAACGTTTAATGGCAAGAATTCGAAGAGTTCGCCCACAACATCAACAAGGCAGTTGGTCGCTCTTGCATGACAATGCCCCTTCTCACAAAACCATTGTCGTTCGCGAGTTTTTGCCATCCAAAGGTGTTGTGGTTCTTAAGCATCTCCCTTATTTGCATGATTTGTCACATTTTGACAATTTTTTGTTCCCTAAACTAAAATTTAAAATGAAAGGCATGCGTTTTGAAGATGCTGAAGAAATTCAAAAAGCTGCGACCGACTTCTTGGAGGCTATCACTAAGAAGGACTTTCAGCAATGCTTTCAAAAGTTTTATGATCGTTGTAATAAGTGTATTGCTGCAGATGGAATGTATTTTGAATAACATTCAATAAAAAATTTAATTACTTGAAGACAAGCATGTTTTTTAAACCAGTCCGGAAAATTTTGGGACACACTGTGTATAACACCATTCAAACATAAATATTTTGTCATCAGATACAACAAAACCAGATGAGTACACATGTTACAAAGCAAAACACACGCTAATAAAATCCTCTCAGGTCAACAGGTGTGTAAAATGGTTAGAAGTCTCCGACATTTTGCGGACCACCTGTAGTCATTTATTAACGACTGCTGCTGTGAAAGTTACGCATTATATAAAACACATGTATTCTCATGCCAACTAGCGACATATGTGACCTACAACCAGTAGAAAACCAGCCTCTAGGAATGCAACTGCGACAGAGAAAAGTTAAGCTTAATTCCTGATTTAAATTTGTAAGTAATTCCAGTACACTCACTTTTTTGTTTTGCTTCTACCAATTGGTGAAACAATGGTTGTCATCAGAGCTTCTACATCCTCCAGCTCTGGTGTAGACTCCTTTGTATCAGGGCTGAATCCATCAACCCAACCGCCTCCTACACAAACACACAACAATTATTACAAACAGAAAACTCCACCTGACACACTACCTCATCTTAAACGTTAAAATAGTTTGACTCTAAAGCTGTCCCACATCTTTAAATGCATGCTTCCATTTAAAATGCTTTCCAGCCTAAAAATCACGTAACATACCAAATATTGTTGCGGACATATACTGTGAGGATGCACGTTACCAACTGAAGCCTGACCAAACTCGTATTACACCATTAAGGGCCCCTGCACACATGAGTCCAGATTCACCAAGAAAAGTGTGGGCTGCAGCAGTAAGAGCAAGAAATCCCTGATATAGCCTGTCCAGTCTCTGAATCTTTCTTTTCCATACAAAAAAGGTGCACACGTCTTCATCTTTTTGCTGTGAAATAAGTGACTTTTCATGTCAGAGTACTCATGAATCGTAAGCTGGAGTACTGCACTTGTCAGTGCAGAAACGTGCGAGAGAACAAGTGCATTTTACACTCCAAGAAACTGAAATACTTGAAGGATAGCTAATTAATAACAATTAATCATGTATAAATATTTCAGGTACTTTGAGAGCATTAAAGAGGAAATCACTATCAACTGTAATAGCCGTAGAGAATAAATCAATCTTTTGCTGCGAAGAACCGACACGCTGTCAATGTTATATGCTACGAGCAGGGTCAGAAGTGGCAAGAACTGATCCAACATTGCAATTACAGGAAGACTGCGCATCTACTTGCGGCATTACACGGACAAAATGCTGACATCCTAAAGCGTCCCAGCTGGAGAGAAATACGAAGACACTCTAAAGGGTTGGTGCAAAGACCACCAGCTGGCAGCAGCTTACTCATCTCAAATCAAGGCCAGGATTCAGCTGAGTGGCAAGACATTAGAAGTCTGCAGCAGCCATCAAGCTCTTGGGTTACCTGAGAATTGCTTCCAAAAGGAGGCCAACCAGTGACTGAGCAAGAAACTAAGAAATGAAGCAGCAACTCATCACGGAATGCAACAGGTCGGTCAACACGCCCCTAAAGCTGGAGGTGGCGAAAGCAACAAGCAGACCACCGGCAAAGATATAAGAAGTGATCCACGTCCAGCCAAGCACTGCAGCGATCGACAACTGGTACGCTGGCTGTGCGGATATGCCAGACACCAGAACCCCCAAAGAAACCAAGAGAGCAATTAGTTGCTTGTTCCTACTTGTGACTGTGCCACGATGTTCCGTTGAAATGGTGTCTGTTAGCTGACCCTTCTCCGAAGTCTCTCTATTCTTGTTGTGCTGCTCATCTACCACTCGAGAGCTCTCTGAACCCAACTGAGTTTCCTGAAACAAACAAACAGTTCTAGAGTGCATTCCCTCTCAGAGTGCAAGAAGTTCGGGTGGATTTAAATAAATACAAATTATGTTCGACTTAACTCATTCTTACCAAGTATCAAAGATATAATTCAATGTCAAACACCAGAATTTACTAAAGTGAAATACTTATCATGTCCGACTTTGAAGGAATTAAAAACTACAAAGCAGAAAACTTCAATGAAGAAAATTTAATGGACACAAAATTGAACACAAAGATGCAGGAAATCTGGAAACAGCTTAGCACAGTAACCCACGAGAAAAATGCATATCGTAATGTGTAGCAATGACGCCACGTAATTTCCTAGCAAAAAAGATGGGTTTATTTCACCACAATCACAATTGATAATTACTTCCTACTTACTGCACTTAAAACACCTGAAATAGCAACATACGGATATCACATCTTTCAGTTTACTGGTCTCCAAAACGCTTGTTCGTTTCTCCACTTCTTCGCTCACACGCAGTATTTCAGTCCGGTATTCACTAATTTTCACACAAAGACTTTACCGAACTTCACTGTTCTAATGACTCAGCTCTTCAGCCAAGTAGCCCACATTCTATAGTTCAAACTCTGTAAAACTTACGCTAATAATGCAACGTCATTGAAAGGTGAAATCAAAAGAAGAAGAGCTATTACTTCCCACATTACAGAAGCAATGGATATAACTTCTTTATTAGTGTACGAAGGTATTTATACGCATCAGCAACTACGACATGGGTACACAGGAAAAATTAATACTTATAAATGCTGTCAAAAACCAACACCTCACCTGTAGCTCATTTCGCAGACTAGTATTTGAGTGATTACTGTCAGGAGGTGACGTAGATCCCACATATTCTCCAGGACTTGTTACTGACCTCAGCCCAGCCTCAAGCGATGTGAACCCAAAAGAAACAGGACCAGAAGATCTGCAAAGGCACACCACATACAGACCACAACAGCCTTGGTGCTTATTACCGAAGACGTAAACATAATCAAATTAACGACCTAGCAACAACAAGTCAGTCAAATGAGCTGCAATGCATTACCTCAGTCTCCATGTTTATGGAGATGGCTGTCTTCTGGGTTGTTGCGCTGCCGTGTAGTCTCGTAGATGTCCACCAACGTTTCAGAGGTCATGCTGCCTCCGTCATCAGGGCGAATGAATTCTGAAACGTTGGTAAACATCGACCAGACTACACAGCGCAACAACCCAGAAGACAGCCATCTTCAGACTCACCGCTGTGAAAACCTCAAATCCAAAATAATTTTACATAAAGACATACAGTAAATTTATGGGGTCCAGAAAAAAATTGTTTTACTAGATGTTTCAATACTCTGTCGTTCATTGAACAGGCATTTCACTGTACGTATGGACATATATAAATCTCATATAAAATTAAAATTGTGAGTGTAAATGTTCAATCGCTGCTCAAGATCAGATACAGATTTGCACGAAAGTTGTCTTGCTATTCATGCCTATTCCTTGGAACCAGGAAGAGATTTTAGAATGGTCTAAATTCCAAAAGATGTTGGGTTTAGGGACAATAAATATAATATTTTGTGATACTCAACAGGAGATATCAAATGGTCAGGCCTATGATAAATAAATTTTGGTAAGAAATGCAATTCGTCATACTTCTCTACGGTAAACAGTGTGGGCACCCTGCTAGTGGAAATAAAATTATTAACATTTACTCTCCTTTAAACAAACATAAACAAATAACAAATCAAACCTGTTGAGCTGAGCAAGGTTCACTTGTGGTAAACGTCCACGTGCCACACCCTCCAATCGTTCTGTGTTTCCCATAATAATCTTGACACGTTCCATGTAGTCCATGTGCGTCTTGAACAACTCTGTGTAGCGTTCGTGAAGTTTGGCGTACTCTCGCTTCTGTTCCTGCTCCTTTTCCTCCAGTCGACACACTGGAAAAAGGAAGTGATAAATTATGGTGGCCATAACAGGCTTAAGCCTTACGATATGCTCACGCTAGCACGGCGTGCCACCACCCTGTATGGCCCCACACTAATGAAAGAGTACTAATAAGTTACTGATTTTTCGTCTAAAAAGATCAATTTCTGCATACAACAAATTATAACATAATAAGTAAACACAATTATAATTATGTAAAAATATTAAAGAAATCATAGACACTACTTCTTTCAAAATACTTTTTTCTAAATTCAAAGCAAATTCTTCTTTTGTACAAAAAAAAAATCTTTAATAAGCCTATGTCCTAGCAGGTGAATCCATCAAAGCAATCAACTGTACTTTTGATATTGATTGAATTACCTCTTGTTTAACAAACACTTTTACCTGGAAGAATAACTGTTTTACTTCAACAACAAATTTAATAAAAAATAAATGAGTGGATGTTCCATATTTTCATATCAAGAAGCCTTCCCAATGGCTCTAATATAGTTTTATTTGATAAAGAAGATTATCCTGAAGTTACTGTTCTAGACATGCTGATTTCAGACACTTCTTGGTCACTGTCTGAATTTGGTGACTTGTAGATGTCTGAAGCACTGGAATTATTGCTTGTCTGTCCTCTAGACCAGTGGTATTCAACCCTTTTGGTTCGCGTACCCCCAGATATAATTTCTCTTCAACTTTGTACGCCCAAAGGTGTATAATTCAAGTTATACGTAGTATATAATCTACATCTAAAATAAATTAAATTAACTACATTACTGATTAAACTTTTTTTTTAATTTCGCGTACCCCTGGTTAAATACCACTGCTCTAGACGACATGAAATCTGAGAAAATACCCATTTTCATGCAACCAGGACTTAGGAGGCTTCCTGCCACTAACACCACTGCATTCTTGCCTACTTTGTACATATTTTCAGTAGTAATGCCTTAGAGTTTTCTACTTCAGTTTTCTATACCTTCGGGAATAAGAAACAGGCTCCACTGAATAAATAAGCTATTTTAAAATAGTCACAACATATCAGAAAAGAAATAAATTACAGTCACATTAATTAAGTAATAAATATACATTAAGTAATAATATTGATGCTGTCACAATTTAAATCAGATGTTTTCTTTTCAGCTACCGGTCCACAAACGCTTAATTAAAAACAATTTCCTTGGGCTATAGTAGGAGCAGATCAATTTCAATACAAGGATATAGTATAAGTGCAGAGCCATGCTATGTGGTGGCATGTTCCAGTGAGAGCATACCTTAAGGTCTCCAGTTGTTCATTTTGACATTTCTCAATATTTTAATTCATAAACCAGCTACAAAGTAAAATAAATGCAGAACACTAATGTTCTCAAATGAACCAAACAGTGGCAGCACTAATATAGGCATTATACCATGATCTGAAGAATTCTTTGATTTCAGCTCCAGCATTCGTAAAATTGACTCCAGACTTTCAATTTGTCCATGCAGATCCTTTCTTTCATCTTCTCCAGCATCTTCAAGCTCTAATAATTTCTGGAAAGATACATCAAGCTCAGACACAAAATGATGATATTGGTGGCAGTGGTGACAATAACAATGGTGGTGATACAGAGAATACCGTACAGCAAGGAGTACCTGCTCAAATCTTACTCCTCTATGAACTAGAATGTTTTAACTAATTTTATCTAAGTATAGGATGTGAAGTTTTCACAGCAGTAAGTCTGAAGATAGCTTTCTTCTGGGTTGTTGCGCCATGTAGTCTGGTAGAAGTGTACTTCTACCAGACTACACAGCACTAGAAGTAAACTTCAACCAGACTAGATGGTGCTACAACCTAGAAGACAGCCATCTTCTACTTTTGTCTAGTGGCATGAGCACAAGCCATTTTCACACATTACAGATTAGAAACCCTTGATAACAATGGTGGCATTCTCACAGCTGAAGTCCCACACACATTCTGAATTCATGCAACATTCTTCAATAGATTCCTTATAAAATAACTTAAACTATAAAAAAATCAGAAATAAGAAGCTAATATAAATTATTTCTGAGCAAATTATTAATGTGGCACTCGTTTATGATGTACTTTCTCTGGTCCCTTGGACAGACGTTATAACCAACTTTGACTGTATTTGCTCTTTTAGATTTTTCAGTTCAAGTATGTGAAAATTGCTGGCTGGCTGATTTTTTTCTTTTTTAGCAAATATCTTGTGTGAGCTGTAACAGTTTGCAGCAGAGTTTGAATTTTTCTTTTGGTCCCTGTATTGTGTGGGTGTGTGTGTTAAACTGAAGAAGTTACTTATTAAGAGGTACTAATACTCAATAGAAGATTATCTGAATGAAGATTTCTCAAAAATTGACTACTGATACAATGTTGTATACTCAATAACATTATATACATACTACTGCACTTTGATAACGTATAACATGGATTGACAAGTCCTGTATCAATGTATTTTGATCTACAGGATAACAAAATAAAATGAAATGTCATGTTAATTAGCAGAGTATAATAACTGGAATGTTAATGTGATATTATAGTAGGTGTGTTCTACGAATTATGTTTGTATTCTGTGGTAACATTAATGTTAACTTATGAGCTACGTATCTAAAGACGTATCCTATGTTAATAGTTTTATTAAGCAGAATGATTAAAAACCGAATTGAACTCAACTTATGAAAACTTCATTTATGTGTAACTCAAAAAAAAAAGACCTCATGGTGGAACCAATCACCCACCTACGAAAACATTAATTTGTAACTGTCATAATAATGGAATGGCTGTATTAGTATTATAATTAGCTGACTAACCTGTTCCGACGTTTTCCTTAGTTGTTTTTCTCGTTCGTATTGGGTAACCAGCTGTTCGTTGTCTTCCCTCAACAATTCGAGTTCCACTTCATGTTCTTGATTTTCGGTATACGACAAATCAAGACACTCTAGTACATTTACCACAAGTGGCATCAAATCCTTAACTACGTCTTCGTCATATTTGGCTATCATTTTTTCAAATTCTTGGTATATACTACCAGCTAATGATTGCACTTTTTCTGACATAACAACATGAGAATCCTCATGTGTGCCATACACAGTTTCTTGCTCAATTTCCATCATGTTTGACGAACAAAGATTATTATGACAACTATATAAACCAGTCTTTCACAAGGACGATTAAAAAACTAACATATTCCCGTACCATATTTTTTCCAAGTGTCCAACAACCCAACTGACATTTTCGCCATTTACACACGTAAAAAAAACGCAGCAGCAACTGACTTTTACACCCCCTCTGATTAAGAATTGGAAACATGTTAAACACTGTACCTTACGTCTGTAACCACCACAGATTAACGATTCAGTCACAGATAAATTTGTAGCAGATTCAAAATGTCCGAAAAATTAATAAATGCGTAAATGTACATATTGCTATATGGGTAAACATATATCTAGCATGAGACAACGTAGAATTTTTTTCGAAGTTTCTCATTACAAACCAC